CACTCGACGTCCTTATATCCTTGTTAGCAATAACATCCACACACACACACACACACACACACACACAACACACACACACACACCACACACACACACACACCACACACACACACACACACAGACATACATTACAGTCTAACTCTGGAATTCCTCTACGTGCGAACTGTCCATACTGTTAGGTCCTCTACTGAACGTCCGTATAACTGGTGTGACAGACACTGTGACTGGGGGTTGACAGTCACATATATCTCGTCAGGTCGACACTGTTTATCCGTAGTGTGCGTAAATCGTGTGTGTAGTGTGTGTATCTCTAATTTTCATGTCTATCTTTGGTGTGTCAATGTGTATCATGTCACTTTTTTGACCTACGTTAGTGAACCGCTTTAATCGTGTTAAAACGTTTAGTCTTGAAGAGAAAGTTACTGACGGTATGTTCGTACGGTTGAAGTTTACATTTCTTTTCCGTCTGCGTTATAGAGGGAAGTTTTATTTTCGTGACGCTACGACACAAAATCCTTGTTTGTTACGTTTATTTGTTTTTGTGTTTGCACGATGTTTTACGTGTGGTACGTTTACTCCTTCGTAGAAGTGGTCTTTCGTAAATGGTCTTGTTTGACTAAATCGGTTGAACTACTTAGTTACACGTCCCAAATAATTTGTATAGAACGTTATTTACTTTTAAGACGTTTGTGTTGTACACCTTACGCCGCGAACAACTTCAAAGTACCTAATATTTTAACCTAGGGTGACCTTAGAATCGATTTTACATTGCACAAAAACGAGTGAATAACGCGTTGTTACACTGCGCGTTACTAAGGAACTTTGCTATAATAACGTCCTAGACGATATTCGATCGATCGATCGATTGCATCAATTGCGGATCAGTAAAGGTTATTTCCAGGACTTTTTGTCAATTGTTGAAGTTCTTCGTGGGTCAGGGTCGACACACGTAGTGCAAACTTAAAAGGGTAAAAGGAGACCGTCCCAAGAAAAACTAACGTCGCAAAGCAAATAAGTCACTTATGGAAATAATCTTTGAGACGCGTCCACGAGGCAGTTCAACACTTACAAAACGCCCGATTTACGAACGTGGACAGGTCCGGTGGCATCTCGTAGTCAAAATTTTTTTTTGTCGTGTTACTAGTCCAGATATCTTTTACAAAAAGATCGTCACTCTCTTTTCTCGACACCTCGTGCAACGTACTACCTAACCGACTCCATGTTGACTGTCTCCGTGTTACACTCATGTAATCACCTCCTCTTCTAAACTTCTGTCATCCTACCTCTCTGGAACTATGTTCACACACACAAACGAGAGGTATACTTCTTATCGGTATGAGACACACACACACACACACACACACACACCACACACACACAACACACACACACACACACACACACACAACACACACACACACACACAACACACACACACACACACACACACACACACACACACACACACACACATCCACACACACACACATGTATGGATCTATGCATGAAGGGTACAGAGACATACTTACTCAAACCTACGCACCTACCGTCGTCGACGTCGTTCACA